ATTTAAACTCCATTAAAACTGTCATGATCAATTAGCAAATGTTTACTGGATACTTAAGGGACTGGCTTGCAAAATCCCCTTCCAAATTATGCACATGATTTCTCCCACCCCCACCCGGTTGCTGGTGCCATGATTCATTTTGGAGAGTCTAACTGCATCAGTGTGCCCACAAAACAAGCATTTACATGTCTAAATGCCACTTGTGCCAGCAACTAATTGTAGGCAAAAAATGCAGTAAAAATTAATAGGCTTTTAACAAAACCCCTAAATGGCTACAAATAGCAATAATTAATATTAAAAAAGCCACACTTTATGAGCCAGCTTGCATTTCAGGACACAGTGGGAGGGAGGAAGAAGCTTTCTCCCCTTTGGCTCATTTAGGATGCATGATTTAGTTGGAACCTTTTCTCTTGATTCTGGTTCTTGATATGTGATTTGCAGTCCCATGAGTTGTGCTTTGGATTCTAATAATGCACTGAATTCTAGAGCATCTTTCGGGCCTTGTTTCATTCAGCAAGATATATAAGGACATAGGTAGTTCCACTGGGTGAAATTCTAGCCAAACTGAAGTCAATAGCAAACTCCCATTGATTTCAGCAGAGCCAGGATTTTAACCAGTGGGGGTTTAATGTTTAAAGTTAAGTATGTGCTCAAATATCTTGCTCAAAAAGGGGTTCAGCTATAACTTATTACCGCAACACGGAATGTGATGGAAGTCCTTTTGGATTGGCAGCTGCAAGTATTGGTGCATCTTACTCATAACTCTCAGAACTTTCAATAGCTTTGTTGAGGGGGAAAGGCTGAAGCCTACTTTACATCCCCATCTCCAAATACCAATGACGTGGGAGCAGAGAAGGGGAGGAGAATAGGGCTATTTGGTAGCATGTGGAAGAGTCTGCGTTTGTAGTGGGAAGTGGCCATCTACAAGTATACATGGAAAGTGTCAAATGTGTGCAAAGGATACCAGATGATTTCCCTTGGCTCTGTGAATATATCAAAAAAGCAAACGTGGGCACTGAGAGGGTAAGCTGAAATTTGACCCAGTCAGTGAAAGATTCTTGACATTTGTCAATGCTTAGATTGCCTAAGCTAAGTTTCAGGTAATTTGGAAAATCTTGAAAGGGGGTTCTTCCCCTGTTTTTGTTATGTTGTGCATAGCTTTATAAAGTATATTAACTCAGCATATGGAAATGCTTTCTTTTTCTTTTTTAGTTTGAAACACAATCATTGATAGGAGTGGAGAGAGAGAAATGGAGTGAGCCAAAACAAAACTAGTACACTTTTTTAAATCACTTGTGAACTGATCCCTGATGACTTTAAAAAAAGAGAACTTTGCTAACTCATTTGCTGACTCCTAAAAATCATCCATATAAAGTGTATGTCTCCTCCCATGCACTCTGAAAACTCTTCTCCAAGATTAATTATATCTCTTCTTGCAGGATAAGTTCCATTTAGTCCATCTATTTGCCTTCAAATAATAGCTACTGAAGAATATATTCCAGCCCTCTTTCTAGACTAGTTATCTACCAAGCAAGGTGATTTCCACCATTTCTCTTGGCATATTATTCCACATTGCAATCTTGCTATGAGAGGGGTGAAGGATAAACTTAACTGTTGTCAGTATGACCCCTGCTATGACCTGGATGTTAAGTCTGGTCTTTGTAAAGAGGAACGTGCTTGAACACAGGTATACAAAAGGAGGGGACAGGTGAAACTGGTTTGAACCTGTTGTAAGGGCTGCAAAGGGACTGTGAGGGGAGAAATGATTGGAGGGAATTTGGTGCAAAGGGGCATGACCTGTATATGCATGCAATTGTAAGTGGTCAGTAAAAGAGGGGTAATTACCATGTAAGAAAGTACAAAAGACCTTGCCTTTTGTTTGGGTGGTTGCAGAAACTTTGCAGAAACTTTTTTTTTTCTGAGTATCCTGGAGGTTTTTGCCCTGGAATGCATTCCTGAATAAAGCTAGTTGCTTAAGAAGGGTGTCTGGAATTGATTTGGTAGGGGTTTTGGGCCCCCATCCGAACCCTCGGATTAAATTCTCCGTCAGGGGCTTCCTGATATCTAAACTAGATCTCCTTGTGCAAGTTCTCGTTATTGCCCATTGAATTGCCGTACATAATTTGTTTCCTTGCTGTTTACACCCTTTCCATAGATTTCCATAGATATTTGAGGTCTATCCTTGGATGACTTGGCTAAATGCCTTTTCCCCCCCCCAAATGATAGTAAAATCTTCCACTCAGTATAAATGAAGTGTTTGTTATTTTGCTGACAGCATTTTGAGTGGTAGCCGGAATACTCCAGCTAGGAATAATGAAATAGGACTCTGGTTGTATTTTGTTGGTTTTTGGAACTGGGGCCATGATTACGAGGGACAGCCGGGGGCATTTGGGCTGGTGTGGATGAGTGGGTCATTTCAGTGTCTCAAGTGGGATAACATTTAATTTTTTTACTTGTTTCTCTCAGAAATGACAGTACTCCTAAATGCTTGGGTAGATAATTAGACCATATGAATCTCTGAAGCAGATATGATTGGGGGGAAAAAAAGCTGATTACAGCAAGCAAAGGCATATGTCTTCCACCAAGAATGCAAAAATGCTGCCAATACCTGGGAAACATTTATCTTTTGGCCTTTTGTTCAATGTATGTGTCACTATCTGAAGTGTGAAAGGCTGATGTGTTTGTGTTTATGTACAATTCTTGGGGAAAGTTATGGCCATACCAATCTTGAAAATAAGATTAACTCATATGTGTGTAAGAAGGTTCAAATGTGACTTTGGGGAGGTAACATTATACGTAATACAGGCAGTCCCCGGGTTACGTACAAGATAGGGACTGTAGGTTTGTTCTTAAGTTGAATTTGTATGTAAGTCGGAACTGGCGTCCAGATTCAGCTGCTGCTGACACTGACCAGCGGCTGACTACAGGAAGCCCGAGGCAGAGTTGCTCTGCCCTGGGCTTCCTGGAATCAGCAGCTGATCAGTTTCAACAGCAGCTGAATCTGGACGCCTGGGACAGAGCAGCTGGGGCGCTGCCGGGTAGGTC